CATTATTTGTTGAATATCTCATGAATATGTCATTATATAGGATTGAAAATTTTACCATAGCCACTGAACTACAGTCCCAACATATTCTTCGAATTTCATGTAATTTGAATTTACTTGGCTCAAAATCGATTTATAAATACTAAAATAAATTGTGTCTCATAATAGATGTTCCAATCTGTCTACTAAATAGAGTTCTGAATCGGATTCTGCTACTTGACTCTAGCGGAGTAATCGTGAAGAATTTTTCTCGAAGTCAATAATTGGCGTTACATTAGTACAAACATGAAGTATTTTTACTTTTTCATATAGTAACAACTTCATTCTTCACATAATAAGTAATGAACAACAATACACTACTTTATAGAATCATAAATAAGTTTCAAGAAAAAAAAACATCACCAGCATGACATTCTCATTAACAAATAGCACGAAAAGTAATAAATAATATGCCTATCAAAAAGAAACAAAATTTTCAGAGCTAGAATCGAAAATTGTTTTTCCTAGAGTCACAATCAGAGTTGCAGGAATGAAAATTTTCAAAGTCAAGAAGTTTGATTTCGCATCCCTCTACTGAAAAGCCTCCATCTATTGTTTTGTTTGACACGTGCAACTACATGTGAAAAAGTTAAATATGTTGTACTTATGCCTATTCGAATGCAATTGGTCTTTTACTTTTTTTTAAATATTCTATACCATTTATCGACTAGTTAATATTCGAGAATGCATTGAGAGATTGATTGGTAGACGAGAAGGAACTATCTCGAGATGAGTAGACCTTTTAAGATCTCACTGTCTTGAATTGCAAAAAACTCGGCGTTATTAATTCGGGTTAAACTGAAAAAATAGTAATTAGTTATGTTCACAAATGAATCGATAGAAAGACGCGATAAAGGTAAGATTTAATCCCACATTTAAAATGTATCGCAACCAGCACATCGGTATATTATATCACAAAGTACAAAACATTTGATATTGGAATGATATATGGAGCACATGTATCAATAGTTTAGAGAAAACTAGAAAATTTTCTTCATGAGATGTGAGTTCTCTAAAGGCAAAAACAACTGTTAAGTTCTATTTTAACGGTTTCTAGTAACAAGTCAATATTATTAATTGAATATGAAATGAATTAATAATCGATTTTTGTGTTTTTTGCATTCTTCATTCACTATTATTTTATTCGATTAAGGGCTTGTCTACACTATAGGATTTAATGCTGAATTAAGAAATCTGATTGGTGTTGCCACGTAGAAACACCAATCAGATTTCTTAATTCAGCATTAAATCGTATAGTGTAGACAAGCCCTAAGTCCCATTACAAAACATTTTTCTTTTCATGACTTTAGTCGTGACATTAATAATAAAATTATATAAATAAAATAGATAATAAATTACTGATAGAAAATCTAATGATTTCATTCGAAAGAGATTATTTATAATGCATTCTACATAAGAATATTTTTTATTATTCAACTTTTTCACGAATAGTTTCACGCATGTTAGACAAAATTATACTTTTAGAAACCAATAAAAGAAATTATAATTAAAATCGAGTAGTTGATATACATAATCTATCAAAGATAAATTCTTGTATTTAGATTTCACGATCTAAATGAATCTAAATATTTGAAATAAGATCCAAAAATCTTTTAAATTAATTATAAAAAAATCTATCATAGTGACATCTAATTAGATCAATCTCATTCGTCAGCGCACCAGAAGGATAACAATAAAAATAAAAAAGAAAGAACTGTGTGTGTTCTGTGCTATGCAACAAGAAAAGAAAAAAATTTGACTCCGTTTTTCTTTTTTTACCTATAAATATCAACGGTCTATTTATAAAAAGAAACACCCTCACAAACTAGTTTGTTGTATTTCTGAATAATAATAATACTGGCCCTTTTATAATAACTATCTTAATGAAAAAAACCCAGTGATTCATTAGTTTATTAAAATCTTATTTGAAGTATATGTATACATAGGTAGTACCGCAGATAAAGAGATTAAATTATCTTGTATCTATTCTTATATTTTATTTTCTTCTAATCTCTATTATAGAATATTATTCATCTCCTTCATAATAATTACATGAGAACAAAAAATGATCATAAACTTCTTTTTTTTTTGCTTTCTTTTGTGCGTAAATATATGTAAAGTATTATTTTCTTTCCGCCATAAATCTGTTCGTCATGATTAACATTAGTTTTATTGAGTTTCCTTGAGACTAGTCAATCAGCAAAAAGCTTTTTATTTTGTTTTTTATTGGATTATCTCTTTAAGTCAACGACACAAATGGTAATAAAGGGGAGAAAAATGTACTGATTAATTTTGACTAACATCATGAATATTTATTTTCAGATGGCACGCCATGATGATACGGGCGGTGTCAGTGCTTTGGTTCGACATACAGCTGGTATGGCAGAATTAGCTATCAGTGCTGGCCATCCGGATCGAAAACATAATGAATATTTACCATATCCTGATAATAATTTTAATGATCCTGTAGATGAACGTCATCAACGAAGTTTGTTTAGATAGTATATCTTTTTTTATTATTCATTCTATTAATTTGATTAGCTAACAAATTTACTATGGGTCATGTATATGATCGTGATGGACGAACATTTGTTCCTAACGTTCTTGTTCATGTTATATCAGTTGTTGCTGAGCGTACATATGCAAAGTTCAGTGAATTTCTGAATCCTTATTTGTAAGTGTTAATAAATATTTCTTCATATTGATATGTAAAAAATTTTTTTTTTTGTTTTTCGTTAGGTACTGTGTAACAACACGACATGGTCCATTTGAATGGATTATTTATAAACGTTATCGACATTTTAATGATTTACATAAAGCATTAGTTCAATATGTTGAAGCTGAAACAAAACGATCTATCAGTGATTTGGAAAAGTAAGTCATGCTTAAGAGAAAATGTAAACAACAATAAAAATATTAATATAAAAGGAGATTTCAGAGTAAATAATATATTTTCGTGATATAATTATCATAGATTGTCTAGGAGAAATCTTCCAGTAAGACTCATTTCGCAACGATCGTAAGTTTTTCTTTCTTCTGATATATGTTTCTCTGTCTGTCTATAATTGTTGTAAACTTGATTTTGATTATTTTATTGAATAAAATAATATTTTCTTTTTAGAATTCAAGATGAAGAAAATGAAAATCCATGTTTTCCAACAAGAAATGACCGATTAGCATTCATCAATGATAGTATTATTCGAGAACGTTGTGTATGTTTAAAAAATAATTTTTTTATTTATTAAGAATTTTTTATTTTATTCGTATGTAGCAAATTCTTCTGGAATATCTCAATAAAGTTCTTAAACATCCAAAATTTCGTAATCATCCAGCAATGGTAAGATTTTTCTACATGAAATCATTTCAAATCTGTAAGGCTTATTTCTCACAAGGGACCTTTTCCCAATAGTCTAATTGCTTTTGAGTCGTGACTATATGTATTATGTAAGTCGCCATGAATAACATGAAAACAATTCGAACTTCTAGTTTATTGTAATCAAAATGTTGTATTTTTACGGTATTTTTAAACATAAAGCCATGATTCTCATTCAAGGACATAGATGGGTATACTTTATTATGAAAGTTTTATGACTTTTGGTTGCTCCTATTCTGAAATAAGATCATCGAAATTTGACGATGTGAAAACATTTTGTTATCATAGACGTAGGAACAAACAAAATATTAAAAGCTTTCACGATAAACTATTCTCATTGAAGGTTGTTCCTATGCAAAATTTCAAGTCAGAATTCAAAAATTAATTATATTGTTGTTCCTAAGGGATTCATGACATTACGTTTAAAGATACCGTAGAAGTACGGAATTTCGAGAGTAATAAACGCAAGGAGCTGAAATTGTTGTCAGAATATTTATAGATCATGACGACTTACATGATATTCAGAGTCTCAATTGATCAGTTTAGGAAGTTTATTCATCATGTGTAAATCAAATATGAAGATTAATCATCGGTGTGAATTGAAAATAGATAAT